GGAATAAAAAAGAAGGGGGGGACTATTTATATGGGGAGAATACTCCAGTAGAACAACAACTAATCCCAAAAAATGCAAACAACAAATACCCAGAGATGAATGCAAACTACAAACAACAACTAATAACAAACCAGGAGAGGAAAAACAGAATAAAAAAATAAAGACAAAAACAAAACAAAAAAAGGGAAACAAACAAGCAAAAAAACCCAAAAACAATCTAATCAACAATCAAGCAAACAAGAACAATAGGACAGAGAGAAAGCAAGACAAAACAAAACAAAACAAAAAACATAGTACAAAAAAAACAAAACAAAAAAATAACAGGAAAAAAAAAACAAAACAAAAAAAAGGGAAGAGGAAAAAAATTTTGATAGTGATGAAGGCAAAGAAAGAGGTGTGTATGCACTTGGAGCAGGGGATCGGAAATTAGATTTATAAGTAGGATGAATTTTTAACAGGTTGTAAAAAGAAGAAATAGGGGAAATCTAGTGCAGGAATAGAGTAAGAGAACAGGACAAAAAGAGGGAAAAAGTGAGGGATGGAGTGTTGGCATAAAGGTAAAGTTGAGATAATGTAAAAAGATGCTAAAGGAAAAATGAAAATAGAATGCAGAACATTAATCCCAAAATAAAATAAAGAGAAAATAAAATGACACTTTAAAAGAACAGTTACAATAGTAGTAGTAATAATACTAATTAAAAATAAAAATATAATAATTAAAAAGGTAAAATCAGGTGAGAAAAAAGAAAAAAATTAGTTTCTTAAGTAAAAGGTGAGAAAAATAAAAATGTGCAGTAGTGAAGGTCATTCACTTCCTCTACTCTTCTGTTTTGCACGCCTTAGTCCTGTCAGGTATTCAGGAGAGTGTTGAAGTTCCCTGCGATACACTGCTCCTCTGTGTTGTAAACCACAGTCCTGATTTTAATGCAGGCAGTATTTCTTTGTTTCCCAGACTGCCTTTATTTGTGTTTACAGAAGAGTCAATGTGTGATTCAGCCCCTGGGTGGCAGTGTTTCTGGATTGACCTCCGGGGCTATAAGTCCTCTCTAGCCAGTATTTAGGTTTTGTTTTCCCTATCGCACTTAATACTGGTTTGGGAGAATCGACTGTCCCAGAGCTGATTCCTTGATCGTTACTCCCCGCTCTGATTCCCAGGTTCCACAAAAACAACTTTCCCCTGCAGTCTCTGTGAGTGTCCCCAATTGGGCGATCCTATGTATTGGGGTTAGTAATCAAAAGCAAGGATTTAAAGAGAGGAAAAAAAGAGCCAGACTAAGTGCGCGAGCTCGCAACCTCCACTGTCCAGCTCTGCGCACAATTCTCCCAACGTCTCTTCCGCACATCTTCTCTTCCCTGGCACTAAGCAGCCAGCACACTGGCAAAATCTGAGGCTGCCTTTTTGCGCCCAGTCCAGCTATGGGCTGATTTTTAGAGTTCCCTTCTGCCAGCAGCCCTGCGGATCCCCTTCTGCACTCGCGGATCACGCTGGCCCCAACGGCTGCGGACTTTGTGGGGCACCTACTTCCCCCCGCACGCGTTCCTCTCTCCAACCTGAATTACAAACCACACCTTTATCTAGGCTAAATCTGACCTTTCCGTGAAGCGGAGCAGGGCTCGTCCAAGTCCACGTATTCACGCTGCTTGAGATCCGGCATTCCTGGGTTCGTAGCTGGTCCCTGAGTGCCATGGTTGCAGGGTCCCTGGATGTATATGCTTCCGATAACAGCCACTTTCCCCTTTGACTAGTTTGTTCTTTCACCCAAGCTTAGTGAAGGTCTGGAACAGTTTGTCTGTTTTTGGTTGATCCTCACATAGGAACACTATGCACAAAATAAGAATGACTTCACTTGGCACCCAAAAAAAGGAGACTAGCAAATAAGTTAGGTTGGATTTTTTTTTTTTTTTTGACATTGAAAAACATCTCATAGTTAATAGTTTATGAAATAAGAAATTGAATGAATATTTTTTTTAAATTCAAGAAATACAGATTAAGATTGAGAAGGCAAATCGAGAGCAGATACCCCCCTCCCCCTTTTGGCTGCATCACCATAACCACACCCCTGGCTTCTGTAATCTTGCTTCTTGATGGATTGACAGTGAGAGGCAGGGGAGGGGAAAGGCTACGTGCTTGTGCACACAGCATTCTCTGGCCTGTGTCTGGGAACTTTCCCCTAGGCGCAGATAAGGAACTGAGAGCCCTCCCCCAGTAGCCTAAGCAACAGGCAGCGGCTCTTGAGGCCCAGGACCCAGAGGGTCAGCGTGGGCCTGCTCAGCTCCCGGGCCCAACCTGCTGAAGCCCGCACCGCAGGCCTGGCCGTAGGCTCCGAGCTGCGGGCACGATGCGGTGGGAGAAACAGCAGAGAACAAGGGGCAATTGTGGGAGGGCAGGCAGTGCCAGGGCATAGGGAGAGGCAGGCTGCTGCCCCACGCCCGACAGAGGGGCGACCCCTGGCCAGCGCTGAGGGTCCGAGCTCTGCTTAGTTGAGGCGCCCCGCCCCTCCTTTGCTAACTGCAGCAGATACCTGGAAGCCTAGCATGTAACATAGAAAGAATGTCTAGAATGTGTATGTATGCCATATATAGGAGACAAGAAACCTAGAAATGTATATAAGGCAAAAACCTTGCTGCATTCAGCGCTCAGCCTCTGGAGAGGACTCTGCTGAGCTAGTACTGGTGCTAATAAACAGTCCTTTTCTGTACCTCCAAGTACATTTGGTTTATCACTTCCCGCTGGCCTGATTTCTGCCATAACAAGATGAGATACTATTTCTTTTTTAATTTAGATGTTTGATAATTAAACTCTTTGATACATTTGTAAATCAGTATTGGCAAGGGTAAAATGCATTCCATTGGCCATGTAAGTTGATGTGTTTTTGGAAAACAGTTTGTCAGGAGGTGTTATGTCTTTAAAATGTTTGCAGTTTTTTGACTTACTACTCCGACTTTTAAGAATCTAGCTCAAAGAAAAATTGATAATGTGGAAAAATCAGTAAGCATAAAGAGGTTCCTTATAGCATTATTTATAGTAGTAAAAATGTAGAAAACCCTAAATGTCTAATATAGGGGAAACAGTGTTTAGTGGATTATTCACTCACTATAGTATGGAGCCAGAAATGATGATTAAGAGGTAGCTGTGTATTGATCTGGAAAGATAACAAAGACATACCAACTAAATAAAGGAAAGATAGAAAAGAAAGTACAATATAATGCCATTTGTGTGTTAGTTAATAAGAAATTTTGACTATTTATCTATAAAAAAGTTTCTGGAAAATATACAAGAGGGAATAGCACTCTGTGGAAGAAGGAGACAAGAACCCTAAAAAATATTTATATCTGTAGTTTTTTAAAAACCCTGTGTGTGTGGTTATAATAAAATTTTAAAAGATGGTTATGAAGGCTATTATAACAGGTAAAAATGCTTGTATGTCAAGCAAAAAGAACAAGATGAAAAATTACACATATATAGTCGTAGCTATGTGACAAACAAGAATAGAAAAAATAAAGAGAAAATATTTGCCTGGCCATAATGGTTCAGTTGGTTGGAGCTTTGCCCTGTGCACTGAAAAGTTGCTGGTTCGAGTCCCTACCAGGGCACATACCTGGGTTGCGGGTTCAGTTCCCTGTTGGGGTGTATATGGAAGGCAACAACAGGTCGATGTTTCTCTCTTTCCATCCCTCCTTCCCTCCCTCTCTCTAAGCATGTCCTTAGGTTATGATTGAAAATAAATTAATTAATTAATTAAAAACAGAAAATATTAATTGATTTTGTTAAAGTGCAGGGATTGCCCACCTCAGTGGTTGAGCGTAGACCTATGAACTAGGAGCTCACAGTTCGATTCCCAGTCAGGTGAGTCAGGCACATGCTCGGGTTTCAGGCTTGATCCTCAGTAGGGACAAGCAGGAGGCAGCCAATCAATGATTCTCTCTCATCATTGATATTTCTGTCTCTCTTCTTCTCCCTTCCTCTGGGAAATCAATAAAAATATATTTTTAAAAATAAAGTGCAGAGATTTATGTTTTGAATTTCTATTTTTCAATTTAAAATTCTTTATATTAATTATGGAAAAATACTTTTTTAAATATATTTTTATTGATTTCCCAGAGGAAGGGAGAAGACGAGAGAGATAGAAACATCAATGATGAGAGAGAATCATTGATCGGCTGCCTCCTGCATGGCCACACTGACGATTGAGCACTCAACCCTGGTATGTGCCCCAACCGCAATCAAACCGTGACCTCCTGGTTCATAGGTCAATGCTCAACCACTGAAACACGCCAGCTGGGCTGGAAAAATAATTTTAACAAAATCGCTATGTTTTTAAACATATATGAAAAAGGACCAATTCTTTATTATTGATGGGTTTGCTCTATCAGAAATCCCATGTCCTCATTTTATGTTTCAGGCCCTGGGCAACTTGAGAATGATGTGGAGTTCCTCTTCTTTTTTTTTCTTCTTTTTTTTTTAAGAGCATTTATTGGGCAAATTACAGAGGTAGAAGAAGCAATTTCTATAAGAAACGGGCTTAGCAAATAAGATATGGAGGTAAAGGAAGGGCCCTTGGAGCTTGGGAGTGAGGAAGCTAATGGTAACATGCCTGGGGCTGGAATGGGGAGGGAAAAGGGAAAGGCATGGGCATGCTCCCTGGAGGGAGAGCACTGAGTTCCTCTTTTTTCTCTTTTTAAAATATATTTTTATTGATTTCAGAGAGGAAGGGGGAGAGAGAGAGAGAGAGAGAGAGAGAGAGAGAGAGAGAGAGAGAAACATCAATGATGAGAGAGAATCATTGATCTGTTGCTTCCTGCACACCCCACACTGGAGATTGAGCCTGCAACCAGGGCATGTGCCCTAACCAGGAATCCAACCTTAACCTGGTTCATAGTTTGAGGTTCAACCACTGGGCCATGCAGGCTGGGCCCAAGTCCCTCTTTTTAAGGGTCTTTTCCTTCCTCCTCTCTGCCTCTTGACTTAGGCAGTGGCGGCTCTGTTCTCTCCTCTGCAGAGCCAGCCTACCTTTGGGTTCCTGTTGGACATCGATGGAGTGCTGGTACGGGGCCATACAGTGATCCCTGCTGCTCTGAAAGCCTTCCGCAGGCTGGTGAATGCCCAGGGGAAGCTGCGGGTGCCTGTGGTCTTTGTCACGAATGCTGGGAACATCTTACAGCATGACAAAGCCCAGGAGCTGTCAGCTCTACTGGGCTTTAAGGTAAGGAGGCAGCTGAAGACTCAAGGGCCTGGTTCCCAGTGGAACTCCTACTCTTGTTCTGACTAAGCCTTTTTCCCTCGGGTGCAGTACAGTATTGATAAGCCTGAGGGCATGGCCAGTTAGTTCAGTACAAATATTTCAACCCTGCTTGAAAAATAACTTGAAGTTTAAGCCCAGCCTCATGAGTAGAGCCTCATCAACGGGGTAATTTTTTATATATACATACATGTTAAGCACAAAAATCCTGCCCATGGAGTTGGCAGTTCAGCCTATAGCCTTTATATTCATTTCTTCTGGGCATCAGGGTTGTCTCTTTTGAATTGTCAGCCCCTAGAAAGTAAGGGTTACATTTTTCTTTTCTTTTCTTAATATGTTTACACTAGTGGCCTGGTGCACGAAATTCATGCACAGGGGAGGGGGTGTTCCTCAGCCCAGCCTGCACCCTCTCCAATCTGGGACCCCTTGAAGGATGTCCTACTGCGGGTTTACAGGGATCGGACATCCCTCTCGCAATCCGGGACTTCTGGCTCCTAACCACTCACCTGCCTGCCTGCCTGATTGCCCCTAACC